AAAAATATTTCCTCCGGCCATCACACAGTCAAAAAAGGACAAACCATTGTACATGCCTTCTATTCAAAACTAGAATAGGGTAACTGTTGGGTTGCCTTCTAATCGACATTAGTAAAAATAATCATAACCAAACTGTAATCACAACAGATTATGGAATGCCAAATTCTGATTGCTGTTTCAATTATATTTTATTATATTATTAAAAATAAAAATGCATGCTTTTATAAGATGTACATGATATAATGTAAGTCATGTCTCCACAAATGCAATTGCTGCCTTTAAATTTAAAACTTTACGTTTCCTAGATTTGCAGATAAAGTAGATTCATTGAAATAAATTCCTCTCCGCGATTCTTGAATATCCTATAAAGATTTCATTATAATTATACACATGTTATACGAGTGACACATCTGTTTAAATTATGCATTTTATAACAAAATTATAATATGTAAATATTAAATGTTTAGTAATAATGAAGTATGTGTATGTCTAAAATATTAACCATATATAACATGTTTAAGTAATGATAAACAATTAGCATATAGTTGGAACTTCCTTTGTAGTATTGTCAATTATTATTACTCATCATATACAATTGAAAGAAATTCCAATGCCACCGATAGTTTTCTTAAGAAAGTCGGTTTTACAAATTTACCTTCCACTTAGTATCTTTCAGTGAGTAAACGAAGCTTCGTGCAAATAGTTCTGTTTTAACAATCGAGTTTCTTCAATAATTTCAGAACTATCACTAGATTGGTCTGCTCGAATGCTAACTTCTAATTGAAATTTAGATGCTTTTCTGATGTTCCTTGTAACCAACTCCAAATTAAAAGATCTCCCATTCCACTAAAACGTTGAAAATATATTATATTATTTAATTATAATCAACATCTTAATATTTCTTCTATATCTTTATTCATACGTCTATTTATTATTATAAATATTCTTTCTATTCATAAAAATTATTACTCATTTTGCGATGTATTAAAAATATTTCAATTCTAGTACTTTTCGTTAACCAGCTTTACTTATCCTTTTGATATATAATTCTTTGTTCTTTATATACATTTTATACATTACCTGCATGATGGCGTAATGTTAATTTTAAATGAATGGTTTTTTGTTGAACCATCATTACAAAATGAACATTCATGATCGATTCTTCCAAAGGTATATTAATATCAACCGGTGTACTCCACAACATTACAGGCCATGAGTTTTACTTATGTGATCAAACATTTCCGAATCTGAATTAAAAAGTATATCTATTATAATAGATGAACATAAGATATTTCAAGTGTGCAGTGTTAATAAACTGATCTTTAAAAATCTTGAAAAAGAGACAATCAGACGAAACAAAATCAGATTACATTTTGACCTTTTATCATATCACCGCAATCTTCACTATAAGGGCAAATATATTCTTCGCAAGTTGTGCTCTGTATTTCTGGTACCCTTAAAGCAATGTCACTATCATATTGTCTAGAATCTGCCAAACATTCTGCTGAAGATGCTCTTGATACTGGTCTCTTAAATCCAAAATTACATGACAAATTGCTTCCTAATAACGCGAACTTTCATTGGAACCAGACCAATTCAGACGTCTGGCTGAGGGACATCGAGGTATTGATATTGAACTATGTGGCCTGAAAAACGACAATGATATGCTTTTGTGCTATTTTTATCACAAGTAACGAATTTATATATATACTATCTGACCCGGCCGTTTGCCGTAAAAAGGTATAAAAATATTTTCATAAAAATCTTAGTAACTAACTGGATTGTGAATGTAGAAGTATGTGGTATGTAAGTGAAAGAGGCAACTAAGGACAAATTATATGGATGGTTTACCCACTGCAAAGCGTTGACCTGCACATTTGTTGATTGAAGGTTCTGATATATTATTACCGCAATTTTCATCAATTCGTTATTTTTTATTTATGAAGCAAAATCTGAACATTGAATCTTTGAATTATACTGCAGTGAATTGAGTGAGACTTCAAATACTCTGTGGGAAAATTTACAGCTTTGGTATATATGTGTGCAAAATGTACTTAATTTCCTTACAAATCATTTTTTTTATTTTTTAGAAATAACTAAAAAATAATAAACAGCAATGTTCTGTTATATAAAAAACAGTTGCTTTGATGCTTTACTGACCAATAGTGTATAAAATTTATTCGACTATTGCAAAGACTCTATGTGATCTATACAATACCTATAAATCTCTTCTGCGAAAGAATATATTTTATTTATATATATTTTTAGCAAAATAGAATTATATTTGGTACTTTGATATATTTAGATTGAATGATATATTAATTACCTAAATATTTCAGTAGTAGATTGTGATTTTGACTTTATCTCTGTGAAGTCTTCATTTGACAAAGACAATATTTTGTTTTCCTCCATTTTTCTATTGCTAAGGTTTTCAACTGAGCAAGACTTGCCCATGATTTTTGCTAAAAATTTGTGTGTATGAGAAACCGTTTGAAGTTTTGTCTGTTCCTGGCTTTTCTTTGTTTTTCTTGGCCCAAATAATTTTTCTCGCACTTTTCCTGGCGGTAACTCATCGGGTCCTACACGTAACTCGAACGCTTCAATTAGAGCATTGAAAACCTAGTAAAATATGATAATATTGGGCAATGTTTTTCAACCATTTTAATTTTAATTAACATTACATATATCATGAAATTTTCAAAGTATCGAAATTGACCATTTCGATGATATTATCTGAAGTTATACTAGTACGATTATGTATTACTGTATTACAGTCTCAAATATTTTAAATAAATTTAAACTAATATTTCTTTATCTCTAACCTGATCGGCCAATAACGATCTGGCTTTACCATATCGCTCTCTACAAACTGGACAGCGATCTGATCGACTGCGACAGGCGGAACATACCAAATGACCGTGGACACATTGTAAAGCTATAAGTGAAATATGAAAACATAATTAAATTCATCACAATTTTGATTTGTATGCTCAAAGAATTGGTAAAATTGAGCTTTAATATTCAATTTTTCTAATGCGAATTGAGTTTTGTAACTGCTTAATGTTAATGTCGTCGATGTGAAAACTTTACGTTCTTTAACTCTACTTTAGATATGTGTGAAAAGTGATATATTTATTGGAAATATCCAAAATTTATTTTGAGTACATTAAGGAAAATGCATCAAGCTACATAAATATTGAACAAATGGATAACCAAAAAAAGTCAAATAGATTATATTATATATTATTATAAACAATATCATGAGCAAGAGCATGTAATCGTGGTGAGAATAGCTCACTCAGTAGCGTTCTCGACTCACACGCTGGAGGAATTCGGTTCGAATCTCCAGCAATACCAGAATTAAAAATATAAAATATTAAAGTAGATTAAGAATTGTTAATTTGTAGAATATAAGAAAAAATTGTATTAGAAGTAAGAAGGAAAAAAGAAGTTTAGTTTAGAAGATGAGAATATTGAGAAACAAGAAGAAGAATGAAAATTTAATGGAATTGCAGAAAGAAAATTGAATGGAAGATTAGGATATAAGAAGAGATAGTATATATATGATGAATGTATAAGAAATATATATGTAAGAATTGTATAGAATATGATGAAAATAATATGAATAATGTAGGTGGCTAAAAATGCTGTAAAGCGGAGGACAATAAAAAATTATTGCGGATAAACGAAGTATTGCGGATCAATTTCCTGATAAATAACGACTAATTGGATATAATCAATATTATCATTAAATTTAATTGTTAATAGGACATTGTGGCTATTTTTCTTTCAGTCCATCATAAAGTGAAATTTCCTTACATATTTTCAACAAAAATTTTACTTTACGCTTATATGATATTGACATAAATTACAATTTTTTCTGCTGCTGGCAGTAAACCCATAATGGTCTGTAAAAGTAAAGGTATTAATGACTCTTTCACAATTCCACAAAAAAATAGACGTTAGCTTTTGAAATGAGTTGGTGCATCTTTT